GACAAGGGGAATGACTTCCCASTGCCAGAGGGCAGGGATAGATGGGATATTGGGAAGGAATTCCTGGTTGTGAGGAATCTGATGTATCAGCTCCCAACTGGTGGGATTTAGCAGTGCTGGGGTTGTTCCCAACCCTCCACACTCAGCCCAGAACCAGGAGCAGCTGCAGCACTCCCATCCCTCCAGGAGCACAGGAGCAGCAGCACGAGCTGCCAAAGAAACTCCATTTACCTCCTCTCTCCACCAGCCAAATTCCAAAGGTCCTCCCTGATTTTAGTTCTTCAAACCTCTCATTTTTAGATCATTTTCTTTTTACTAACTTGACACACTTCAATCCTTCTCAGTGCTTTGCACCCCGAGTTCTTTCAGGATTGGTGTTTAGTTTGCAAAGCAACCCACCTCAAACCCAAACAACTGAAGTCTTGGTAGATTAGAGCTCCCATCCCATCCCTTCCACCCACTGTTTCCCAAAGATATTCCCTATCTTTTCAATGGGAAATTGAAAAAGAGGAAGCCTTCCAGCGAGCAGATACTTTTCAAGACAACCTGATGAACTCAAAAGACACTTGTAACAAAGAGGAAACTGCTGAATTTATAAAGGGGGTTTTCTTTCTCTTAATTATTTAAGAGAAATAATTTATAAGTCCTATAAATCCACACGGGGCTCCAAATTTTCTTCAAACACACGAAGAGCAAAAGAACTTTCACGGGAGCAGCGACATAAAGGGGGAAAACTCCCGTCAACAAACACAAGGAGGGAGTTTAAAAAAAAAATAATTATGAAAAAATAATAATTAGGGGGAGAGGGGAAAAAAAAAAGAAAAAGAGAGCTCCATTTTCCACCCCGGGCTCTGCTCTTTGGGAAAAGAGCTCGGAATCTTGAAGGGAACTGTCTGGGTTAATGACAGCTGATGTCCTGTATCCCGTGGCAGTAGCTGTGACCTCCAGGCCCCCCGTGACTGACGGGCTGACCCCGCTCGCTCCGGGGTGTGACAGAAATGACAACCAAGGAAGAAAAAGAAAGGGAAAGAGAAAGGAAACTGGCTGCCGGCTTTGTAGCCAGGCTCCCTAATAAAACCTAATTCAAGCTGTCAGGGTGAAATGAAGAAAGTGTCAACAGGGGTTTTCAGAGAAATATTCCAAATGTTTGGCTGGCAAAAGGCAGAGCCGGGCTCCCATCCCCCAGCTCCTCAGAAAGGGCTGGAAAAGCCGATGTCGAAAGGAATTTTAATAACCTGCCCAAGGGGACCCCCGAGGAGGGACCCCAAGGGGACGGTTTTCCTCCCTTCCCTGACAAGGCCAATCATCCCAGTAATGGTGAGGGGCACAAGGCCGGGGCTGGGGGGAGCGCCAGGGGAGGGGTTGGGTGAAAGCAGCGTCCGTGTGAAATCGGAGCGAGGTGTCGGCCCCAGAAACCGAGAGGCTTCATGGTGACCCCCGGGTTAAGAGCCCCGGGAGCCACCAAAGAGAACAACCTGCCACTGGTGAAAGTCTGAGGGGGAATGTGGGGAGAGGAACGTCCCGGGATCCCACAGAGACCACGGAGCTGCCTCGGCCTCCGGCAGGAGGGGGAGAAGAAAGTGCCTCCCCAGATCAGTGTCCCTGGCTGGGAGGGAGGGAATTCAGACCCTGAAGGGCCTCGTGTGGGCTCCAAAATGTCTGGGGAGGGCCCAGAGC